GAACTTGAGGACTTAGATTGTGTGGCTTTAGGAGATGCCTAGAAGAGATTTATTCTGATGACCATACTGTTAGGAAATACATGAGAGAACATTTGTGACTTCTTTCAATGTGTAGTGCCAGTGATGTTACCTGTCACTTGCTTTGGTTTTAGCCATCCCAGCCTCTTGGTAGACACCTGACAGTCCCTCATAATAATATTGCCAAGCTTGTGTAGCTAAATGCCAGGTTTGAGATGCCAACAGCCTTCTTTTTCTACAACATGAATCCAGCCCAATATTCAAAACTTACCTTCAGACCCCCTTGAATGAGACGATTTCCTTGTCCACAAACACATGGCTTCTCTTTTCTCTCTTAAGCCCACTGTACTTACTACTTACTTGCTTTAACATAAACTTTCTCTTTTTACATATTTGGTCTGTCTCCCCAAGTAACCTATAAGTGAAGCAAGGTAGCAGCAGAATCCATAGCTCCTACCTCTGGCAGTCCATGTCTTGTTTTGCGCATAAGCATGGCAGTTAGTTCACTGCAGACATGCGGTGTCCAGGTTAGAGGAAGATATAGAAGAGAAAGTAGAAGACTTGATAAGGGGCCCTTTGGCTGTTGCTGTTGTGTGCCCTTGAGTCAAATCTGACTCATAGTGACCCTCTAGGACAAAGTAGACTTGCCCCCTTGGGTTTCCCAGGCTGTAATCTTTACAGAAGCAGATCACTAGGTCTTTTCACCCATGGAGCTGCTGATGTCAAACCACTGACCTTCATGGTTACCAGCTGATATGTACCACCACAACTCCTCAGGCCCTTGGGTTGTTGTTGTGTATGTTAAGTGCCGTCCAGTCGATTTCGACCCATAGCAACCCTGTACAGGGTTTTCAAGTTGTAAATCTTGATGGGAGTAGAAAGCCTCATCTTTCTCCCATGAAGCGGCTGGTAGTTTCAAACTGCTGACCTTAGGGTTCGCAGCCCGATTCGTAACCACTATGCTGCCAGGCCCTTGGGTAGTAGCAACAAAAGAAAGGCAACATGTGGGAAGCTGGCTGTGGGACCATCATTTATTTTGCCTTGTTGTTAAGTGCTGTTAAGTTGATTCCATTTCATAATGACCCTATGCCCAACAAAACGGAACACTGCCAGGTCCTTGCCATCTTCACAATTGTTGTTATGCTTGAGCCCGTTGCTGCTGCCATGTTGGGAGTCTTCCTATTTTTTGTTGACTCTCCACTTTACCAAGCATGATGTCCTTCTCTAGGGACTGATTGTCTGTCTGAAGTATGAGAGACGAAGTCTTACCATCTTGGCTTCTAAGGAGCATTTTGGCTGTACTTCTTCCAACACAGATTTGCTTGTTCTTCAGGTAGTTCATGGTTCTTTCAACATTCTCCTCCAACACCATAACTCAAGTGCATGGGTTCTTCTATGGTCTTCCTTATTCATTGTCCAACTTTCACATGCATATGAGGCAATTGAAAATACCATGGCTTGGGTCAGGCACACCTTAGTCCTCAAATTGATGCTACATTGATATTTATCAAATAATCAATAATGTACAAGGAAGTGGAAGTATTCTTTTAGGTTGCCAAGGGACAAGGGGGCAAAGCTATGTTTGTGAAAAAGTAGGATCGGGGTGAGGGGCAGCAGAGAGAAACTGCTTCACAGCTTCTGGGGGTGCTTTCCTGTTTTATTCTAAAATTCTTTCTCAGTCTTCACATTAATAGAGAAGTGAAATCATCTCTTACCATTTCCTGCTGCTCCCTCATTAAAGGTTTCACTTCTCCTTTGGCTGCCAGAGCAGAGACCTAGACACGAGAGAGACACACCGCTGGTTGAAGGCCTGGCCTCGTGGGCACACATTACCACACAACAAGCATTCGTTTGCCAGGACAAGACTTTGTAGACACTGAAAAGGATTCTTGCTCCTGCAAGGTTTGATTCACTATCCACTTGGAGAAGGGGAAGACTATGTACAGGGGGCTGCGTTTGCTGGGGGAGGGCAGAATTTACACTTAATGCCAACAAAAGAGAAAGCGAAAGAGACAGTGGTTCTAAAGGAACTCTGAGAACAGGAGAGTTAGGTTGTGGCTGGCTTGGGTTGGGTATTGTGGCTCTTCCCTTTTTTCCTTTTCTCACTAGAGGCCACCAGTGTTTCCCAGTCCTGTATGTAGTGAGTGTGTGAGCACACTTAGGTGCAGGTGCATTTAGGTGCACATATGTGGCGGGGTTAGGTGTTGGGCTGCTAACTACAAGGTTGTTGAAGTTTTCATCACCTTGGTGGTGGTGGTTATGTGCTATGGAGTTGGTTCTGACTCACAGCGACTCTGTACAATTTCTGAGATTGTAAACCTTTATAGAAGCAGAAAGCCTCATCTTTCTCCTGTGGGACAGCTGGTAGTTTCGAACTGCTGACCTTGAGGTTTGCAGCTCAATTTCTAACCACTACACTACCAGGGCTCCTTTAGTTGATGAAACCTCTTACAAGTTTTTTATTTAATAGTAAGCTAAACAAAAGAGGATTAGGAGGGAGCCCATCGACATCATATTTATATGCCCTCTCCACAAACCCTTGACCTCCAAGAGAGTCTGCTATTTATGAAGGAAAAATGGGGATGGAAAGACCGTGTACCAAAAATGAATATAAACATGAATATGAGAGACAAAAGACGTATTTTGTGTTACTAGTTGAGATCAACTGACTCCGGTCCATATTTCCCAGCCACCCCTACTACCAACCCTACCTTAGTTATTTCACGGGAACCCTCCTATGTACCATCAAATGTTTTGGAGTGGGCACAGGATATGGGGTAGAGAGTCAAACATTTGTTGAGCTTCTACTTTGTGACAGGCACTGGCTGGGTAGGTTCTTGATATTTTGTCTCATTTAGTCTTCACAAACTCATTAATTGTCCTTTTATAGATACAAAAACAGGTTTAGAGATTCACATCTAAGGTATAGAGGCTTCAGCTCTGTTTTCATACAGCCCCTCAACACATACACCAAAACCCAAAACCAAATCTACTGCAATTCAACTGATTCCAACTCATAGCAACCCTCAATGGGGTTTCTGAGACTATACATCTTTACCAGAGAAGACAGTCTCATCTTTCTCCTGCAGAGCAGCTGGTAGGTTTGAACTGCCAACCTTGTGGTTCAAACTGACCTTATGGTCCAGTGTTTATCCTACAGCACAACACTAGGACTCCATCAGGGAGCAGAGGGAAGGTAATTTAGAACTCTAAATTTGTGATAAAAAAAGTCCATCAATGATAAATTTCACAAAGTAATAAGGAGAATGAATTGCCATTTAAAACCTATCTTTTCCAGGGGAAGACAAATAGGGAAGTTTATCTGATTTTTCTAGTGGCTTCATAATGCCCCTGGGACCGAGGGACCAGTGGGGGAAACACACAGGTGAGTCTAGGTGAGCTGTGGGCACTGGACCATCACCAGCTGTTTGTCAAAGAGTTTAAGTGGAGTTACCCTGCGGTCTGTTTTTGTGATAGCTCAGAGAGTAAGAGGATGCTGTTTCCTGGCCCCGGAAAGCAGCTTATAGCTGAGGAGGAAATGAAGTCTGACTGGTTAAAATAGAGGAAGCAATGAAGGTCTAGGGAGGGATTTTCCAGACCCCTGTTCCTGATCTCCAGTGGAACTGCTTCCCTTATTCTGCAGCCTTGTTGTCTGGTCAGAAGACTTTGTTCTCTCCCTGTGGCTCCTTCCTTCTCAACAACTCTGCCTATGCTAACCACCCCAGAAGGAACCCATAGTTCTCCTGTCTCCTGAGGGATAAGAGATATGCAATATTTTCCTAGGTACCTTCCCTTCAAAGAACAAGAGAGATTAGTAGTCCCAGGCTTTTGGGATTCTCAGTCTACTGAGTAGAAAAAGGTAAAGCAATGAGTAGTCAGGCTGCATAAACCCAGGAAATATTGAAACAGTTCTCTCCACGGACATAGGGAAATCCACCTACAACCTAGTTATTCCATACAGAAATAATTAAGAAACAGAAAAAAGCAGATCCAGGGCAGAGCTCCAAAACTCGGAACCACAGAGCTAGGAATATTTTAAAAGTTCGAAGGCTTATAGCTACTGGAACTTGATGTGAAAAGTGAATGTGAAAAAAGGCATGCTAGGAGTGGTGGTTTCTAAATAATAATTGTTGTTGTTGTTAAGGGCCGTCGAGTCGGTTCCGACCCATAGCGACCCTGTACAGGGTTTCCGAGGGTGTAAATCCTTACGGGAGTAGAAAGCTTCATCTTTCTCCCGCTAAGCGGCTGGTAGTTTCGAACCGCTGATCTTAAGGTTCGCAGCCCGATTCGTAACCACTACGCTACCAAATAATAATTAGCAACTAAAAAATAAAAACATCAAAAAACTATATAAAAAAATTAAGAAACATACAACTTGGAGAATGTAATTAATGCCACTGAATTGTTTGTATATAAATTGTTGAGTCCTGATGTGGTGCTGTAGGAAGAGCACTGGACTGTTAATAGCAAGGTTGGCAGTTCAAACCCATTAGCCGCTCCTCGGAAACCCTATATAGGATTGTTATGAGTTAGAACCAGCTCGACAGCACTAGACAAGAACAACAAAAAAATGTTGAATTGGTAAATATTTTGTTGTGTGTATTTTCAACAATAGCAATAAAAAAAAAAAATTAACAGACCAGGAGACTTGCTGTCAAAGCCTAAGGAAGAATGAAGTTTACCTAGTAACTGATGATACTATGCTGAGGCATTCAGCTATTTGTCTCTACATTTGTCTCCACCTACCTAGCCAATCTGACAACTTTTAGTTTGGGATGCCTGACTTATATGACATATGTTAGGAACAGATTTAGTATCCAGGGGCTACATAGCCCCCGAACACTTATTTAGCAGGGATCAAGAAACCTGGGCAATACTAAACTCAGTGTCTGAATATCATCTATCCAGGCTGGGGCTTCAAGTGCAGGCTAGGACCCAAGGCCTCTGGAAGAGCTGGCCCAGGGAAGTGAATTCCAGAGAGCATGACCTCACTCCTGCCGCTGCTGCTGGGGCTCAGCCTGGGCTGCACCAGAGCAGGTAAGGACCCTCCCTTTCCTGTTCCTGTTCTGGAGCTAGCGGGGGTTCAGTTTTGTTACTGGATTAGGATGCCCCAGACTAGTTTGTTTTCCTATTATAGACTCCTAAAGCACTTTACCGTGTCCTGGTGGTGTAGTGTTGTGGGTTAATATGCTGAACTGCAAGGTTGGCTTGACCTGCAAGGTTGGCAGTTCAAGCTCACCAGACGCTCCTTGGGAACCCTATCCAGTGTCACTATGGATTGGACCTAACTCGATGGCACTTAACAACAACAACAAAACACTTTGTGTTATATATTTGTAGCAATTTTAATAGTAATTAAACTATATAATTATCTATAATATGCAAGGAGTCTTCAAAAAATTCTTGGGAAAATGGAATGAAAAGATAATAGAACTTTTCCGTTAGCTTTTTGAAGCCCTTTTGTATGTCCCTGCTGGAATGTAAGCCAGGTCTATTTTGCTTACTGTTGCATCCCCAGTCCTGGCATAGTGCATGGCACATAGTGAGTGCTTCATAAGTATGTGCGGAATGAATATTTAATCATTTTTCCTATGCACAATGAGGCTGACTCCTTTGATTCCTTTTCACAAAACGAAGCTGCCTTATTGAAGATTTGTGTTTTGGTTAAATCATTGTGTTTATTCATGCAAGTAATCTTCTGCCACTCCTATCCCCACACTTAGTCACAAATAAAGAGGAAATTAGATCTAAATACATCTGTTTCTATGATCTCTTCCTTTAAATGGAGACTTTGAGTGACTCCAAATTTGTAATGGTCAGCAGATATTATGTGAAGTGAGGAATTTATGCTAGACTAGCTGAGTGTAACGAAGGCTCAGTGGAGGATCACTTCTGATCTTCCCTCCATCCCCCACCCTTGACCCCTTGCCCCATTCTCTGGCTCCTCTAGGTGGCTTTGTGGCCCATGTGGAAAGCAGCTGTCTCTTGGATGATGAGGGGACTCCAAAGGATTTCATGTATTGTGTCTCCTTCAACAAGGATGTGCTGTCCTGCTGGGATCCACAAAGGGCCAACATGACCCCTTGTGAATTTGGGGTGCTAAATCAATTAGCCATAAGCCTCTCAGAATTCCTCAATCAACATGAAAACCTGCTCCAGCGTTTGCACAATGGGCTCCAGGACTGTGCCACACATACCCAGCCCTTCTGGAGAACACTGACACAAAGGACACGTAAGAAGGGGACACAGAGGGAGACCAGGGAGGAGATTCAATAGATTAGGGTTTTGAAATCTGGGTAGAAAGGAAGCAGGAAAGTGTGTGAACTAGAATGTAGACAGAGGAGTGGGTTGACCCTCATGGAGAAGCAAGGTGATGGACTAGGATAAAGCATTAGGAGGAACGGTGATGTTTGAACTAGTGAGGAGACACTGATGGGTGACTAAACAGAGAACAGGATGCAGATTCAAGTCTAAGCAGGGATGTATCAGATTGACGAGATTAACTTTCCCCCAAGTTTTCAGATGTCCTAGGTATGGGTGGGTCTGTTGTTGTTGTTACCTGCCGTTGATTTGGTTACACTCATAGTGACCCTCTATAGGGTTTCCGAGGAGCGGTTGGTGAATTTGAACTGCCAACCTTGAGGTTCAAACTGACCTTGCAGTCCAGTGCTCATCCTACAGCGCCACACCAGGACTAGGTATGAAAATATTTGGAAAGATTCCCCAGAGGATTCTGACATTCTCTCTCTTCTCTGATTCCTTGCATTGAGAAAGATTTGAGGTTCATAAGAGAAACTTTGAACATCTCCCTCCCTAGGATAGAGTAGTGTGTCTTAAGACGTGGTTTCCAAACCATCTTTTTCCGAATTGCCTGGGAGAGGCTTCTTGTTAAAAATACAAGTCCCTGGTACCACTCCAAATTCACTGAATGAAAATATCTGGGGATGCAGCCTACAGAGTCTGCACTTAAACACAATTTAGGGTATTTTTATTTGAAAAGCACCAAGGTAGAGGCAGACAGGAGGGTCACTTAGGAGAATAAAATAGTGGAAGAAGGCAGTATCAACATCCTGGTTGGTTATGACAATGTTAGTTGCCATGGAGTCGATTCTGACTTACGGTAACCCCATGTGTATAGAGCAGACTGCTCCAAAAGGTTTTCAAGGCTCTGACCTTTTGGAAGCAGAACACAAGGACTCTCTTCCGAGACACCTCCGGGCAGGTTTGACCCATTAACCTTTTGGTTAGCAGTCAAGTGCTAAAAGTTTAGCATTTAGCCATTTGCATCTCCCATGGACTCTCCCTAGCTTCCATCAAATATAGCTAGTCCTGACTTGAGTCCTGGTGTGGTCTTATAGGATAAGCACTGGACTGGTACTGGCAAGGTTGGCAGTTCAAACCCATCAGCTCCTCTCTGAATATCATATAGGAAGCCCTATGCAGGGTTGCTATGAGTTGGCACACAGCAACAACAACACAATCCTGAGTTTGGCTTGTTTATTTCAGGAGAAGAGCTTTATTTAAGTAAATTAATTTCTTATGCAATATTGTGGGGGCAAAATTCTTCCTACCTTTAGAACCCCAAATTTACAACTGTGGGCTTCCCTTAGCTTATGTACTTTTCTCTGATAGCTTGAAGCTCAGACCTGGCTTCTACTCATGTGATCAAACATAATTTTGGAGGAAGAAAGAAAGGAAGGGTCAGTGGGAGAAGAGAAATAGCAAAGCAGGAATACTTACTTCTCGCTTTCAAAGGGATGTGTGGTGATACAGGGTGAGGAGGTTAGCCTAGATCAATGAGAAACTGAAGTAAGAAAGATAAGCGGGCTGGAGAAAGATTCAGGATGTCACCCTTCTTCATGCTCATGTTTCTTCCCCTATACAGGGCCACCGTCTGTGAAAGTAGGCCCCGTCACGCCTTTTAACACCAGGAAGCCAGTGATGCTGGCCTGTTACGTGTGGGGCTTCTATCCAGCTGATGTGATCATCACATGGAGGAAGAATGGGGAGCCCGTTCTCCCTCACAACGATGCCCAGAAGACTGCCCAGCCCAATGGAGACTGGACGTACCAGACGGTCTCCTATTTAGCTTTAACCCCCTCTTGGGGGGACACCTATACCTGTGTAGTAGAGCACATTGGAGTTGCTCTGCCCATCCTCGAGAACTGGAGTAAGTTTATGGCAGTCAGGACGAGTTAGGGTTAAAGCAAAGATATACTGGATGTTGGTGACAGAAAAAGGAACTTCAATATTATGGCAGAGGCAGTAAAATGTGGATGTTGTTGTAGTTATTAAGTGCCAACCAGTCGATTCTGACCCATAGTAACCCTGTGTAGGGTTTCTGAGGAGCAGCTGGTGAACTTGAACCGCTGACCTTGCTGTTCAAAAGGCTTTGCAGTCTGGTGTATTAACCCACAATGCCACATAGGTACATGGAAAACAGTAGACAGGGAGATGCTAGAATGCAAGTGAGTCTAGAGGAACTTAAGCAGGATTTATGACCAGAGTTGGGACAGTGAGATGAAGGAACAGAGTTCCTTATTATTCTTGGTGGTATTGTTGGTATGTGTAATTAATGTTGTGTGCATGTGTGGAGATAGGAGGAGAACATGTTTGTATTGAAAAGAGGCTACAGATCTGGTAACTACACTGTGGGTTAGTGCACTGGACTGCAAGGTTGGCACTTCAAGCTTAGCAGCTGCTCCTTGGAAACCCTATATGGAGTTGTTATGGGTTAGAACCGACTTGATGGTACTTAACAATAACAACATATTTTAAGAACCAATAATTGTGATATAATATTCTAGGCTCTCCAGATTTCAACTAATCTGTTGTCAGATCAGGAATGGGGCAAAAAAGAAGGAAAATTTCTCTTGACATGGGGGCAGGACTGCATTTGGCCTGTTCTGCTAGAGATATTGGGAGAGAAAAAAAGCAAGGTCGGTGGTTCAAACTCACCAGCCACTCCTTGAAAACCTTATACAGGGTAGCTTTGAGTCAGAACCAACTCTATGGCACTTAACAACAACAGTATACACTTATAGAGTGCTGGTGGTGTTGTAGGGTAAGCACTGGACTGCAAACTACAAGGTTGGCAGTTCAAATCCACCAGCTGCTCTGCAAGACAAAGATGGGGCTTTCTACTCTTGTGAAGATTTATTGTTGTAGTTAAGTGCCTTGAAGTCCAGTGCATTACCCTGTAGCACCACACCAGGACTCCAAAACAAGAGGACAGGCTACAGATACACAGCCTCAGAAACCCTATACAGATTGCTAGGAGCCTGAACCAACTTGACAACACCTAATAACAACAGGAGATACTTTGGTGAGCATGCTTGAGGACTAATACCCAAGGAATCAATTATCATTGTTTGAACCCTAGGGTTGGCAATAAAGGTAATGAAAGAAATTGCCCATAGATCTGGGGATTCTTGGGGAAAAAAAGAGGAAAAGATGAGAAAGAGGGAGGATGCCTATAAAGAGTTAGGGATCAGGATTCCAGACAGGCTACGGGCTATCTCTTTGTAGGGAATGTTGTATCTTGCTAGGCAGCTGGGAAGGACATGAGAAACAGAAAGTGGAACCCATGTTTTCACCCAATCTCTCTTGGGACAAGTCTCCTTTATAGGGTGCACAGGATTTTCCTTTGGTGGTGGAATGCTTAGGGGAAAGGAATCCTGCAAGGACAAGATTCAGTGTAGAACAAACTCCAACTCCAAGTTGGAATTTGGAATGGAATAGAGAGGCTCTGAAAGGACCCATGGAAAAATCTGGATGTGGACAAATGGGAGACCCAGAAGTACTAGGATAAATCATAGAATGGAACTTTTGGAGGTCAGGAAGGGTAGAAAGACATTTTAATAGGAAACAGCTCAGATGGAACAAGTAAGGCTGTAAACATTGACATCATCAGGGAAATAGCAAGGGGAGAGAAGAACCCCTTATTCTCTGGTGAAAACATGATCTTACAGTAAAAGAAAGAAAGGGAATGCCTTAAAATACTCCAGGGCACTAGGAATGAACTTGAAGTTGGGGTGCTAACTCTAGGAGATAGATGAGTTTCCTGGATTCCTCTAGGAATAGGGGTTCACAGGATGGGGGATTTGCATAAAGGCTATTTCCTTGGAAGTGCATTGGTGTGATTTAGACCGTTGGGGTTGGGATAAAGGACTTTTGACCTCTCGTTCCAGTGAGATTCTATTTTTGCAGCACCTGGGCTGTCTCCAGTGCAGATGGTGAAGGTTTCTGTGTCTACAGTGACGCTGGGCCTGGGCCTCATCATCTTCTTTTTTGGTTTGATCCGTTGGCAGAGAGCTGGCTTCTCTAGTGAGTGATTCCCCTGAATCTCTACCAATACTGTCGCTCCCAATTTCTGTTTACTTTCTGTTTGTGATGATTCTTCCATTCCTATCCCATTCTCTGTGAATAATGCCAAATACATGAATCCACAAAGACCCTCCTCTAATCAAGTATTTTCTCTCTTAGGTTATACTCCCCTCCCTGGGTCCAATTATCCAGAAGGTAACTTCTCTTGTTGGTCTGTTTGCCTTCTAGGCCTTTGGCAATGGTGGTGGTAGTGGTGGGGCAGGTGATGATTAGGAGTCAGTGTTGGGTTCCACTAGTGGCATTTACAATAGAGATAAACTGCCTTCAGCATCTAGGTGAGAGCAGGGTTTAAATTGTCATTGTTGGTAGTAGGAGTAGCAAGAGAGAGGAAAGCTTGCTCTCTGCAATTCTACCCAATTGAGTATCTATGGGGTGGGGACAGAAGGTGGGTCCTTGTATTAATCCTTGGTGACATAGAACTTTAACGTCACTGTTTTACGGGGCTCTGGTACTGGGTGGCTACAGAGATAAGCAATGAGGTCAGGTTGGGTTTAAGCCTTATTATCTCTTAATTTCTTCTGCAGGTCGGCACATTTCCTAGAGGCAAAAATCTCTCAACTTCTGCTTCAAGTGAGGAGATACTTCCTCAGTCCCCTCTTAGATCTTATGGCTTCCCTCTCCATGTAGACCTTTGCAACATGGGGACCTCATTTCTGGGAATAGTCTAGAGACAAATTATTGCCCAAGGTTATATTCCTAGGATGACTATAATCTGGGGAGGGAGGTTAGAGGGCCTCTTTAAGGGTCCCATTGTGCCACAGAAGATATTAACTGGCTGGTGACCATCTCTGAGAAATAAATTCGAATGGGAATATTGTTTATCCGTGTCTTTTTCTTAGAGTCTTGGGGGAAGGAATATGGGCATAGAGGCTGGGATGATTCTCTCCTGCTTGAGTGGATGAATCAGAGACTCATTTCCTCACACAGAATTTGGCACGGCTTTCTGGTTTATAATTTTGTTGTTATTAAGTGCCGTTGAGTCAGTTCCGACCCATAGTGACCCTGTATAGGGTTTCCTGGTTTATAACACAGAATAAGAAATTAAACTGGTTGGATGGAATCACAGAGTGAGGGAGAGGGAGGGGATTAGCAATTTACTCTGGTGTTGTTAAGTGCTGTCAAGTCGGTTCTGACTCATAATGACCCTGTATAGGGTTTTCTGAGGAGCGGCTGGTGAGCTTGAACCACAGACCTTGCTGTTCAAACCAACTTTGCAGTCCAGCACATTAATCCACAGCACCACACGGGGACTCCGCTTCCTATTTACTTTGCACTCCATTATAGTTTACTCTGTGATGAATATTTAATGAGTTTTAATGAAAATTAATTGAGTAACTACTTATAAATTGGTAGAACATTGCCTGGCACATAGCAAGCCCATATTGGTGACATCAGATATTATCAGTTATTGAACTTTCAGGGTCAGGCATTATGCGGGACCAACTATTTCATTTGATCCTCATCACAACCCTATGGCAGACCCTCAAATGGTCAAGATTCAGGGGGCAGAGCCTAATTTGAATTCTAGGTAGTTATTTCATACCCAGAGTGGGAAAGGGAACAAACAGAGCTTGAGTCTTCTGTTCTAGGTACTGGGTTAAAGTAATTTATATTTGCATCTTCTTTTGTGTTTGTATTGCTCAGAATATCCCCAAAAGAACAAACAGTCTTCCTATCACAGATAAGAAAACTAAGGGTCAGACAGGTTAAGCAACTTGCCCAAGGCCAAAGAGTCAATTCACAATGGAGTGTTTGCCTGGTGAACTACAAGTATGTAGATTACTTTTTTCTGTGGCCCCTCTTGTTGGTAAGCACACATCTCCTCAGGACCACTCATCAAATCCCTCAACACTTTAGTCACACCTAGTAGCTGTGGTTAAGAGTCCGGCTTCTAACTACCAGCAGTTTCGTGAGAGAAAAATGAGGCTCCCATAAGATTTACAGTCTTGGAAACCCTATACAGAACTGACTCCATGGCACACCATCACAAGTAGTTTTTTAAGGAGCCCTGGTATGGCCCTGTGGGCGGTTCAAGCTCACCAGCTGCTTCCTGGAAACATAACATTACTTGTTGAGTCAATTCCAACTGATAGCGACATTGTAGAGGAGCAGCTTGTGGCTTTGAACCGCTGACTTTATGGTTCGCAGCCCAGTGCTTATCCTACACTACCACACCAAGAGTCTAGTATGTGGAGGGATAGATTTTGTACAGTGGAGACGCCATCTGATGCTGTTGTTTTCCCGTGAAGGGCGACATCTGCTGGACACAGAAGGTTGAGCAGAGGAATTAGTTTTGGAAATCGTTGGTGTTAATTGTGTGCCATGGAGTAGGTTCCTACTCACAGAGACCCTGTATAGAGTTTTCGAAGTGTAAATCTTTATGGCAATAGAAAGCTTCCTCTTTCTTTCGCGGTGTGGCTGGTGGATTCTAACTGCTGACCTTACGGTTAGCAGCCCGGCTTGTAATCCGCCATGCTACCAGGGCTCCTTATTTTTAGAATTAGTTGGGTACATATGGGGTGGAAGGAACTCTGGTGGTGCCAGTGGTTAAGCATTCTCTTCTAACCCATCCACTCAACAACAATGATTTTTGTTTTCATTTTCACACACGGGGGTCTGAAAGCCATGTAAATGGTTAATGTGCTTGGCTGCTGAAAGGTAGGAGGTTTTAGTTCATTCACCCAGAGAGAGGTTTCTTGAAATAAAGGTGTCTGTTGTTGTTGTTTAGTGCCTTCGAGTCAGTTCCGACTCATAATGCCCTGTATAGGGTTTCCAAGGAGTGGCTGGTGAGCTTGAACCACTGACCTTGTAGTTCAACCTTGCAGTCCAGAACATTAACCCACAGTGCCACACCAGGGCTCCAAAAAAGTAGATCACTAGACCTTTATTGAAAATCTTTTGGCTTTTATTATTTGTTGTTAAGTGCCATCAATTCCATTCCTGTCTAGGGTTTCTGAAGTGTGGCTGGTGGGTTTGAACTGCTGACTTTGCAGTTTGAACTGACCTTGCAATCCAGTGCATTATCACGTAGTGTCTTTCTTATCTGTGAAAGGCTTCAACCTGAAAGTTTATGCTAACAAGATGACTTAGGATGTGAGCTAGCCTTTTAAGAAAGACTCACTATGTGAGGGGAAGGGCCTGATTTCAGTATTACGGCCAATGAGTCCATCATGCCTACATAACGAAACTCCACTAAACATGCTGGAACCTTGATGGTGCACTGAGTTAAGCAATGGGCTACTAATTGAAAGGTTAGTAGTTTGAACCCACCAGCCACTCTTGGCAGTTTGCCCTGTAGATTTACAGCCTTAGAAACCCTATGGAGCAGTTCCACCTGTCCTAGAGGCTCACTATGAATCGGAATCGGCAGTGGGTTAAAAACTCCAGACTTTGGAGTGACGTTGAGTATTCCTGTTAGTAATAAACCTCTAAATAGAATGGGGACTCTCCCAGACCTCACCCTACACATGTCTTCTTCGTGTTGGTCCTGATTTGTATTTTTTATAATAAAACTGTAATCATAGGTATAGTGGTTTCCCGAGTTCTGAGTCATTCTAGTGAATTACTGAACCTCAGGAGATAGTGGGAACCCTTGAATGTCTAGCCAGCAGGTCAGAAGTGGGTGGCCTAGGGATCCCTGAGCTTACAGCTAATGTCTTGAGGGAGTAGCTGTTGTTAAGCACTGTGAAGTCAGTTATGACTCATGTTGTTATTAAGTGCCCTCGAGTCGATTCCAACTCTTAGCGACCCTGTATAGGGTTTCCAAGGAATGGCTGGTGGGTTTGAACTGCCAGCCTTGTGATTAGCAGTCCAGTGCTTATCCTACAGCACACCAGGACTCCAAATTTGTAGCTAGTTGGTTAGAAGTGTGGCAAGCCTGGAACTTGTCGCTAGTGTTTGAAGTCTTGGGCAGACCTGGCAGTCTGGAGGATGGTGGCCTTTAACCTGTGAAATATAACCTAATGCTGTGAAGTGTCAGAACAGAATAGAATTGACTTTAGCATACGTTATACGAATACTCCCTTTAAATTTGATGATATGGTCAATTATATTAGGAAAGGTTTAAAATTTTTTAATTGTGATGAAAATATATACATAACCTTAGTGAATTCAGCACTTTCTACAAGGACAATTCAATGACATTGATGATATGCTTTATGCTGTACAATGATCACCATCTTTTTCCTAATCATTCCACCACCATTAACATAAGTTCAATGCTCTCGCTCTGTTTTGTACCTCCTAAGGAGCTCTGGTAGCGTAGTGGTTATGAATCGGGCTGCTAATCTCATGGTCAGCAGTTTGAAACTACCAGCTGTTCTGTGGGAGAAAGATGAGGCTTTCTGCTCTTGTAAAGATTTACAGCCTCGGAAACCCTGTATAGGTAGCTATGAGTCAGAACCGACTCCACGGCACGCAACTGTGGGACCCTAAGAAGAAAACTCTATTTTCTACTTATGCTAAAGCATGTCTCCCTGTTTCAGGAATGTGCCTGGTCAGTTAGTACCAGATGAAGATGACCCCCTTCCCCTACGAGCCATAA